GGGTAATTTAATAATACCCGGATAACCCGGGTAATTTAATAATACCCGGATAACCCGGGTAATTTAATAATACCCGGATAACCCGGGTAATTTAATAATACCCGGGTAGAGATTTTCTCAACGGGTCCAATCTCTAATTCAGCAAATTAAATATTTAAATCAGTCAATAGAAAACATTTCGTGGTTTTGACTACCGTAAAGTGCTGACTGGTGTTTATTCATTCTACTTTGTCAACCTTTAATGTTTTACATCAACTTGGTATTCTCCAAAGAGGATTATTTTTCGCGATATATTACGCATAGTATCCGAATATAATCCGGATACAAATAATCGGGAATCTACAAAGTCAACACTTTACGGCATAATATTGTAACATTTTACGGTATATTCCAACATTATGATAATGTCGTAGTAAAGCTGCACCAATTTTACTGAGAATTTATCTTTTAACCTAAGATCAATCCTTAAATAATAACGAATAATTATTAATTTTAAAATTTATTTTATAATGTTTAATTAGCCAATCCAAAAAGATATTAAAGGTGCAAAGGAATATTCAAATTCGTTAGAAAATTTTTTTATTTTTATAGACGCATACATAAGAGCCAAGATTGAAGAAATTGAAAGTTGTAAAGAACTTTTAAGAACTAAATTGCAAGCAGAAACATCAAAAAGAAAGGAAGAACGACTTGAACAAAGGATTAAATCTTACAAATCAAATCTCGAATTAAAAAATTACGATGAAATGAAACTTCAATTATTCGAAAGCCTTATAATTATCAAGTTTTGGATGATGGTATACATGGAAAACTATATTTATGCTTATAAGTATTGGTCACTTTCTGAATCGAATATAAATCTTTCAGTCATTAAAAACTTTCGTGATCACGAAAAAGATAAGGAAAGTATTTACCGTGAGTTAGAAGATGCCTATATAAGTTTCGGACATAATCCTGATTCTTGTAGGGAAACTATTAAATTTGATGAAAAAAGATTTATTGAAGAGCTTAAACGTGATAAATCTGTTATAATAGAAATTCCGTTGAATCAGAAAGAATTAAAGAAACGTGCGCATTTGAGGCTTCACAAATTTAGAGTGTACTTAGAAGGGGCAGTATCTACCGATGAATCTATCTCTATATCTATTAGTAATACGGGAAAATTGGCTGATAGAGACGAAAAAAACAATGAATATAACTTTAGATCAGAACCATTGGAGCCCAAAGGATTCAAATACAGTGTGAATGACAAAAATATAATTAGTAGTGATCCCAATTTTTATGACAAGAATAATAAAATTTATTTTGTTCCAACGCCGTTCAGTCAATGGAAAATTAAAATTGATGATGATGACGATAAAGTTGATTTGGCTGAATTGAAATCTATTGACATTTACTTAGAATATACGAGTAAATTAGTAACTTAATTGTAGCAAAATAAATAGCGCAACTGGACTTTATCCAGTAAACAAATAAATCTGTTTTCATAATTTAAACGTACTTGTTATTCGGAAAAGATATGAATGTCACCAATTTAAAACCTTTAGGTAAATATATACGATCAGTGTTCTGATCACTTCCATAGTGTCATTTTAATAAAATAAATAGCTTTGGGTTGGATCCTAATATGTACCTCAGGTATTACAAGATGATTTGAGACGCTGTCTCAATATATTGTCCAATTCGGTCTGATTGGTACTATATTTCTCACCCAAAAGCTCGACTAGCATAGGGATCATATTTTGGCTTAGTCGATCTTTTTGTTTATTCTACTTCAATTCATAGTTAAGGCCAAAATCTCTACTTCTTTCATTGAGGATAATCAAGAGTTTACTCTATTAATAATAAATTAATTTTTATTTAAAAAATAAATATAAATATATGTCAAATATAATTAATATATATTGAATATAATTAATTATAGCATTAATATTATTAGTTAAAAAAATAAAGAAATATATATATACTCAAAGTGCTTTTCTTCTAGCCATATTATTTTTAAAACCATGTTAACTTGCTACTTCTTCATTGCTTAGAGGAGCAGGCCTTATTTGTGCAGACCTTTTTTGTACAGCTGTAGCTGATGAACCTTCAGCTGCACTTTCTCTCAGCTATTTACTCTGACCTGAAGCCTGATAGTTTAAAATTTGTAAAGCCTAAATATTCTTAGCAAAGATGAAATAGGAACTTCGAAGAAGTTGGACCATATCTTCTAGGCTATAATTTTTCAGTCCTGGTCCCTCTGAATCTCACATAGCTCATCAATCTCACTCCACAGTAATTAATTTTCTAATATTAAAAAAATAATAATAATATTAATAATAATAATAGTAATAATAATAAAAATAATAAAATATCAGTTATAGATCAGCATGAATTCAATCACTATTTAAGAAAAATAAATATATATATAAAAAAAATAATAACAAAATAAAGTAGTTACAAATCGGTATAAATTAGACCACCATTTTTTTTAAAAAAAATAAATAAATCGATATATTTCAGTCATCATTTAAATAAGAAAGAAAAAAATAATTATCCCTTAAATTGTAGGCTCTTCCAAGCAAATCTGCCTAGAAAATTATCATAAATATTGTTATGATCTACTTTTTTTTAAATTTTAATATATTTAAATAAATTTTTTTTTGATAATATTTGAAAATAAGGATTATATTATAGCAGTA